TTTTCAATGCCCATACCCAAAATGTTTAACTGTACGTGAACAGCCTCCTGAGCAGCCACCAAATTGCGTAAGAAACGCTCCTCGCGTCGTTTCGCCTGCCGTGGAGGAAGACCTTCTGTCATTAGAGGCTCCTGTACGACAATCAAAAGCCGTCGCGTCAGTGTGCGGGCCAACACAGTACCATCTTGCTGAATCAATAGAGACAAAAAGGCACGTATAAACTTCTCTCCCTCCACGTAATTTACCCTCAGCAGCATCCTGGCAATGCCACACGCAGTATCCGTGTCTACAAGTTCAAGATTACCGGCGTTGGCGGCAAAAAATTGCACACCAGCGATAACGGCTTCGGGATTGCCTGTGTAAAGAACACGTTGCAGTAATAGGTTTAACCGCAATGCCTCAAGTTTCTTCACATCCTCAGGATTGGGCTTCATAAGGTCACGAACCTTTCGCAATGGCAGTGTCATACAAAGTCTTTCACTCGAACGTGTCAGGAGTTCGTCAAATACCTCAAGGGCCTGTGTATGGGATGTCTCCTCAAGGGCAAAAAGACGTCCCACCTTCTCCTCAATCATCTCCTTGTAGTCAAACTTGGGAACCAGCATGACATCCGTAAGAGCCACAAGTGCCATTGCCACCGCTGTGTCTTTGCGAGTGAAGCGTTCCATAGCACAGTCGGTAATAATTTCATACGCCTCTCGCAGTCGCCTCGCGTAGAGGAGTCCCACTCCTCGGCTTTCGCGTTCCCGTAAATGCGGTTTGTCCTCGCCAACCTGCTGCGGTTTGGCACGACTGCTCGGCCACGACGCCAAAGCTGAGAGCGCTGGAAGCGCAAGGCCAGTCAAGGTCAACTCCCCGCCACTTGTCACACCAAAAAGACGTTGTTCAACGGAGGACAAAGTAGCAGCAAGATCAACAACAGGGTACTTGTATTGAGCACGTCCCACGCAGTACGTTGGAGGAAACCGCAGGTTCCACATTGCAACAGTACCATCAATACCGCCCGTCGCAAGAAGATCAGAGTGGAGTCTCAGCCATCTCAAAGAAGCAACATCACCCTGAAGTGACGAAATTGTGCGCACAGCGTGTTCTGGAAATCTACAATCAAATACTGAGATGGTTCCATCGGATGAGGCTGCTGCCACAACAAACGGCAGCAATGTGTTAAAGTCTGCACATCGAGCCATGTACCCACGGCGCATGGGCAGCGTTAAACCGTGTCCCCTGGTGTTATCCGCTCGTGTGTCTGTAAGTATAAGACTCCCTTCGTAACCACCTGTGAGAACTATTGAATCGCAGTGTGGAGCCCAATTAGCAAAAAGAAGAACTTCATGCTGACCGTTGTTTTTCACCTCCGTGCTCACCCCGGGGGTCCATGCACGTACGGGATGCAAATCCCCCTCCAGATCCCACACCATAGCGCGGCTTTCAACCACTCCTACAACACTCGATGAGTTCACCTCTGCGTTGCACCGCACGCTACGTACAAGCGTTGAAACCGCATGGCTACTTGGTGCAACAATGATGTCCCCAACCATCGGTTGTGTATCACCCGACGCTAAACATCTACTGGGATCAAGTGCTTCACCGCTTTCAGTTACACTATATGGCCCTGCCTTTACGAGAAGGATGCGACCTCGTGTGCTGCCCAGCAGGAGATGGTCATCACACCAATCAACGCTACTCACAAAAACATCTGGCGGCAAGTCCAACCACCGTATATGCGTGGCCCCTTGAAGCGTCGGCTCTGGCCCTTCCACGGACATTAGTCCAACGCTCCCTCCTCCACCTAAAGGATTCATACCCAATGCCAATGCGCTCTCACTGTTGTGTAGCGACAATCGCGCGGTGCTAAAGATTGTACCAGGAGCCGCAAGAAGACCACTGTCGGCTATAACGCTTGGGTGATTGCGAAGAAGACCCTGCAACTGCGCCTTTGTCCGCCATGCGGAAGTTGACGCATAAAAAGGCACCCTAATGATGCTTTCATCCATTTGGCCAAAAAGCTGTCAACATTTAAAAAAACAACAACAACAACCACAAGAAGAATGGAGCAGGAGGGGAAAGCCTAACAACGCTTATACCCCCACTTTCTCGCCCAAAAGGAATCAAAAAAAAAAAAAAAAAACCATCCCCATATATATTATATATATACTAAACTCTCCAGGGTCTCTTGGTGAAATTGTACACAAAAAAATAAATAAAAATAATGAAAAAAGTCCCCGCCCCATCACCACCACCCCACGGGGTGGGATATCAGCTGAGGATTCGCACACACAATGCCTCCGTTTCTAGACGATCGCGTCGCAATACCTCCAACTCATCTAATGTTTTTTGAACAACGATAACAAATGACTCCTTCAGAGCAGAAAGCTGCGCGTCTGCCTCATCACGTTCCTTCTGCAGTTCAGCTTGGATCCTTTCCACTGCTGCCGCAACGGATGATGGGGTCCCTGAAGCAGACGACTCTTCTAGCTGCTGACGAATCACATCTTGTGTCCTTCGCATTTCCTCCAAGCGAGACATGAGACATCCATCCTCGTCACGGTTGTCAGCACAATAATAAGATTCATCTCCGAGACCTCGAATTATCTTTGTGATTCGTGCCTCAGGACGGCCAGGAGTATCCTCAGCCATGTTCTTGCTGTCTGCAAGCAATTGTCGCAGCAGTTTTAGATTTTCCTCCATATCTGACCAAAACTGCGCAGCATAATTCTGCAACTGTTCCATTTCTGTGTGTGCCTTGTCCATGGCGATCACCAAATCCCCGCGCTTCTTCGCGCCGTTCTCTTGGTAGAGTCTTAAACGTGAATCCAATTGTTGTAGCATGCAATCATTCGCATCCCACTTCTCTTGAGACATCGAAAACGCGTCACGCACCGATGAAAGCGGAGGTGAAAATGCAGAAACTTCACCAGACTCCGACGCGGGGATGCCGCGTTGTCCCAAGTGGCAGGGGACAGAAATGGCGGTGTGTGGATCAAACGACCGCATGTGTTGAAGTTGGGCACGAAGAAGTTCAAGGCTCGGCGCCGTCTTCTCATGGATTCTGTCAAAAGAAGACATGCTCCCGCTGCGCTTCCTTCTCGGAATTCTCCTTCTTTTCTTTTTTTTGTCCGTCTCATTGAGGGGGAGGCGGAAGGAACACGCGTCCCCCGGCGGACGCAAAGAGACAACAACAAAAGAAAAGAAAGAGAAGAGGAAATGAAAGAGTACAAGCAGCAACACCATTACTACCGAGCTGTCAGAGGCCTTGTCGCAGGTTCCATTTGGCCACTCTTCCCCTTCGGCGTTGCCAAGCGGGAAATGAAGAGGATTCCAAGTGAATGAAGCACGGAAGATTCGGAAGGAGCAAAACAACAACAACACACACAACACACACACACAAAAAAAAAAAAAAAAACAGAGGGAGAAAAGATAAACACCAATATATTTTTCAGTCATGTTTCTCCAGGCAGGCACAAGCACACAGATGCATGGGAAAAAAAAAGAATTGCAGCGGAGGCCTCACAAGAGGGTAAAATGAGCCCAAAACGAACCAAAAAAAAAGAAAAAAACGTCCATTGAAGAAAGACGGCAAAGAGAAGCAGGACGTTTCGTGAAGACTGGCAGCACACATGCTCCACAGTGGCAGCAAAGCAAAACACAACTAAAAGTGGTGTCGACTTTTTTTTTTTACTTGTGTGGGTGTATTTGTGTTTGGCTGTGTACATCCCAGAATTTTATTTCACTGCCTCTCGTATTTTATTCCAATTGTGTCTAATTTCCTTTTCTTTTCTTTTCCTTCCCCTCCTCCTCCTCCTCGTCCTTCCCTTTTTCCGTTCCCCGTGTGGTTGCGCTTGGATCCTGCTCCCTTGACACCCTTTCCTCGCCGAAGTGCCACGGCAAAAACAGAAAAAAACAAACAAACAAACAAACAAAAAAAAAAAGGAAAAAAGGAAAACGACAGGCACTTACACACACACACAGACAAAAAAAAAGGACGCTTTGTTTCCTCTTTCCTCTCCTTCTTTTTTTTCCTCAGCGGATCCGCCTCATGTTTCTGTAGCCGAGCGCCCCATCGATGAGTTCCTGGAGGGCTCTCATTGCCATCAGCTTCAGATGCGTGACGTAGAAGAGAAATGACGCGGTGGCAACGGGAAGGAGACTGAGTCCACGGAACTCCTTCCACATCAGCGAAAGCGGAAAAAGCAAGACAAGGAAAAGGCATCCACACGTAATAAAATCCTTCGCACGTCGTGTAAGAAAGAAATCCAACATAAAAAGCAGGGTCAGTACGACAAGACTAGTAAGCACGGGTATAATGGCAAGCAATACATACATGCGGCCACCGTGCTCCACATATTGGAATATGCAGAATATAGTCCCTGCAAAAAACGCAGGATAGACATACGGAACATTTGATAATAAAAACGTCATAATTGCCATGGGTCTAAATCCAGTTCGTTGCTCATGAATATGTTGTTTAACCTCTGGTGCAACATATGACAATAAAACATACAATTGCCACATACAAAGTGAAACCATGGGGGTGATACCACACAGCAGCCATGGAAACCGCTCTTCACGGGCAAAATTGATTTGTACAAGGAGTGTCGGAAACGCAATGCATGCAATGCCAACAATGATGCCGGTGGCAGAGCGAATAATAAGCGGTTTGTTTTTGCGTAACCTATAAAAAAGGGGCTTAGGCTCAAAGTGCGTCTCCATCACGACATTTGCAATAACTATGGTAACAATAGAAAGATACGTCATCCACAAGAGGGAAAACGCCATGCTTGGTGAGCATAAAGCGCCTAAAGCAACCCCCTCTGCTGAGCACACAGTAGTACCAAGAAATAATGAAAAAGACAAGAGTGCCCAAGAAAGAAACATCTGCAGTACAAAGACACGCCGTCGTTGCACATATTCATAATAACTACGACTTTGTAGGTAGTGCCTCACTTCTTCCATGGCTTTTCGCAACGTTCTGTTGGTTGGCGCGATGAGAGGCTCCATTGTGTCGTGCTGCGTGATGAATTGCTCCGGGGCTCCCAATCGCCGCATTTTGTTCAGCAACCGCATGTCCGACTGATCCAAAGGTGCACTGTGTAGACGCTGCACGAGCGGGTAAGCCACAAATATTCGTTTCGAGACAAACTCCCATATGACAGCATGTTGGCAGGCACAATTCCACCGCCAACAAACACTTGAAAGAACGCCGATCCATGCAAAATTATAGTTGTCATTTTCAATTACCTCCATAAATAGGCGATGCAAAATTTCAATGGGAAGGCAATTCACATACGGCGCTACGCGAAGAAGCGCTACCCGCTTCTCCAACTCCGTGTCTCCACTAAACCCACCACGAGAAAAAATCGACCCTAAAGAAGACGCTAATGATGAACTGAGACTCATTTTTTTTTTTTTTCTTTTGAAAAATGCACACACACACACACACACACAAACCCTTTTGTGTAAACTACAGACAAAGACTCCTCTTGCTGTGTACTTATATATGTGTATATATCGGGAAACAACTAAACGCAACCACAATCTGCTCCAAAAGAAAAAAAGAAAAAAAAGAAAAAAAAGAAAAACGCACAAGGAAAGAGACATACAAAGCAAATATAATAACGTCCCGATTTATTTCTTTCTCCCCTCTTTTTTTCTTTTTCTTCTTCTTGTTCTTTGCCTGCCTTTTCTTGAAAGTCAACGTACATGTGAGATAACGCCCTCGCACACACCACAACCGACTGGAAAGGTGTCCGATAAAATTCTCACGGCCAGGGACGTGCCGCTGTGCCTAAGAGACCTGCGTGCGTCTACAACTTCCTGCTGCGTACCGCAGTTCGGGCATTCCCACGTTCTCGTCGTCGGTGTCTGCGTGGGTGGCAATGGCGTGTCCTGCGTAACGGGGGCAATATCAATGGCCGAGACAACATCAGAGCCCTTCCGCTGTCGACGTGCCTCTACTTTCCGCTGCACCAACTCCCGCCATCCTCCCGGCGTTATATTATGGGATGCCAGTGCCTCGTGCACATCCGTGACGCTGGCACCCTCAATGGTGGAGGCGATCATCTCCGCCAAAGTGTCTATCATCTCCCGCTTCTCAGATGCCGACAGGAACGCTGAGTCGCCGGCATTTGCCTCTATGACCGCTTCCATTCGCCCTCAAAAAAGAAGCAAGAAAGAATATGGGCAGGGCAAAGGCAAACTGATAAAATAAAAAAATAAAGGAAAAAAGGAGGGAATGCGTGGGCCACAACAAATACCGACACGCCCCGAGAGCGGGAGAGACAAAAGTGCAAAAGAATTGACACGGAGGCAATGCAAAGAATACTAAACAATGAAAATCCCCATGTATTCTTTACATTTTTTTTTTTTAATTGTCGTTTTTGTTGTTTATAAATATATAAATATATATATGGAAAGAAAAAAAAAAAGGGTGTTGGTAAAGATAAAATCTCACTGCCAAAAATAACAACACCCCCCGTTCTTCTCTCCAATTTCAGTACATAAATTCCCCCTTCACATTTCATCCAGCGCCGTATTCAATTTGTGCTGTTTTGCTTTCCTTGTCGTCTTCCGTTTCGTCTGGTGTGCGCCCAGTCACTCTCCCTCTCGCACCCGCAGGCACAACGCACGCATGCCTCCTTTTTTTTTTTTTTTTAATATCTGCGCCCGCCGCCAGAGACAAAAAAAAACACATGGAAGACGAAGACAAACTAAAAAAAAAAAAAAAAAGTGCCTGTGAAGTTCTTTTCAATTATTTCCCCCCCCCCCCCTCCCACGACATTTCCATTTATCGTTTCGGTGCGACTGCGTGTTGTTGCTGTTGCCTGACGGTCCCGTTTCTCAGTCCGCAGCTCCAAAAAGATGCGCCAGAGACCTGCGGATGGGGGGGGAACCACGAAGAAATGAAACAAAGACAAAAACAACAACAACTAAGCGGTCAGCGAAAAGGGTAAAAAAAGGTACAAAATACAAAACAGTAACGTGACGCGATGGACCAACAAAAAGAAAAGGTGACTCTCTCTCTCTCTCTCTCTCTCTCTCTGTGTGTGTGTGTGTGTGTGTGTGTCCAATGATGATGATCGCAATCGTCATTGCAACCATTAATATACCACCATTCATGACGATTTTCGGCAAACGAGACCTTTGAGAAGCAAAAACATAAAAATCCGTTTATTTCGCCAAGCGTCATCTTCCTTCTTCTCCCCTTTTGATCTGCTCCATTTTTTTTTTCTTTTTCTTTTTTTCTTTCTCTTGTCGTCTTTAAACCCTCGCTTTGTTGCGCTTAAAATACCAAATTTTGAACTGCGGTGCAGCGTGTGTGTGTGTGTGTGTGTGCTCAGCAAAGGGGTAGCATCACATGGTTGAGCAGCAATTGCTGTCGCTGCCGCCAGTTTCTTTTCTTTTGCCCGTCGCTGCCTTGTCACCCCCCTTCTCGCGTCTCGTTGTGGTGTTGTTCCTTTGAAACACCAAATGCATCAACACGGACCTTGGCTCATCACCGTTTTTGGCGCCCACTCCTACATTTACACTACATTCCTGAGCCTCGGTAGAAGTGAGAACACTCCGCAGCGGGGTGCCGTCCGCGAGGAGTTTTCCCGTTCGCAGAATCTTCATCTCTACGGTCTTGATGATTTCCTGCATCTCTGACAAGTCACTCGGCCATTCCCTCCGTATCTGACGCTTTAGGTCTGTCGTCGTCGTCGAGGAGCCATTCTCCTGAATTAGTGGCACCTCCAGCTGCAGCTGGCGTCCCGAGTACGCGGGGTAGCATGCACCGCTGAGGACAAACCGCACAAGAACAGCCCCCTCACCATTCATACCTTCGCTTACCCCAGCAACCTAAAAAGAAGTATGTATATAAAAATAAACCTATGAAGGCAACGAAAACACACGGAGTGAGCACAAGACTCTGGCAAGAAACAAAAGGAACAGAACAAAAAGAAGAAAAATAAATGTATGCTTCAACATCAGTCTTCACTCATCCGTCAAAAAAAAAAAAAAAAAAAAAAAAAGGAATTCCACAGGCAGAGTGAAAAGAAAGAAAGAGAGAAAAAGACGCATCCTTCTCAAAACATAAATATTGTCACACCGCAGACAACAATCGCTAACAAAAAACATAAAAACCAAACACAATCAAACAAACAAAAAAATGCCACTAAAAGGCAGTTTCACACACTTCCTTGTTGAGCTTTGGAGGAGGGGCGTCCTCGAAAGAAACACCACGACGACGCGCCGGGCCATTGTAGTCAAATGGAAACATGCCGTTGTACTTTGCCCACGGCTGGCGACGGGCCCTTGAATAAACAGTACCCACCAGTTCTCTGCCGCTATTGACACGATTCCGAGCCTGTTCTTCTATCATTTGCTTGCGACTAATGAACTTCGGCTCAGTGCGGTGCCATCCCCATAGTGCCCACATATCGCGAGGCATTGGTTTTGCGCCCTCCTCATTCACCGAGAGATAACCTGTCTTTGCTGTGAAGGAGCCTAACCGTTCCAGTTGATCCATCCACATCTTAAATTCAGTGTCAAGTCGCATCACAGCATCCAATGCACCCGATTTCACGCCCTCCTTAAAATATGCTTCCGCCTTTTCATGGGGTGCGCCGGACAATCGCACCGCCAGCATCATGTTGACGTATGTCTGTGCGTTTGGCTCAAGTCCAATGGTTCGCATTTCTCCTAGCAGCTGTTCGCAGCGTGAAAGATCCTTGGCGAAAGCACAGGCCTGCATCACTGCATTGTAAATGTAGTGGTCCGATCCAAACCGTTTAATGTGATGCCGAAATATGTCGTTGACGCGCTCCATGTATTTTTTTGGGTCATGTTCTATTTTTGGCAACAAATGAATGACAACCTTCTCATTGTGGAGTCTTGTCCAAAAGGCCTCGTCACGGTTCTTAACGTAAAGCCGGAACATCGCTTCTGGTGTCAACTCAAAGTTGTCACCGGCGTTGTAAAATCCAATTTCCTTCGGCCACTTCGTGTACCCCAACAAGTTGAACTGAAGCTCATGCCACGAGTTCGGATGACGTCGCGGAAATGCAAGACTCAAAGGTACAAATTGATTGAGGACATGCTCTGATATCTTTGGACGCCACGCGAGATTCTTCCCACCACGCCTTGTGCGTCCCGGTGTGTGCGTCCATCCCTTCTTGAAGAAGGGCCTGCTACCGTGCAGCATTCAAAAAAAAAAAAAGAAAAAAAAAAAAAAAGAGAGAAACGACGCGCCCGTGGGTGTCACCTCCCTCGTTCTCTCTTTTTTCTTCTTCTCTTCCACAGACGCACAAAACATACAGAAAGAAGAAGAAAAAGAGAAAGGAATAGAAATACCGGGAAGCAAACTAACAAACCAAAAAAGTTAATCCAAAAGAAAAAAAAAAAAAAAAAAAGAAAAGAAAGGCAATTCCTGTTGAGTTTGCTGCGGGCCAGCCCACACACACGGGGCTTAAATCAACTCGGCCCCCATTCACCCTTCTTCCGGCAAATTTCCGGAACAAACAAACAAGAACGTAGCATGTATATATATATATGTATATATATATACACTTGGTAGATGGCTTTCGCATTGCAAGCAGCGAGAACTTCAAAGGGTGGATGGAAGAGAAGCTAATGGCTGTGTAAATTCAACTAAATGGAGAGGCTAAGGCGATCTCCAAAATTGTTCAGGAGGGACAACTTCTCAAATTCTTCAAATGTAATGTACCCGTCACGGTTCAAGTCCACTTCAATAAATGTTTTGTCCACAATCTGCTGCAGCTGAACCCCCGTGAGATTGGTTCCCACCATGATCGTCAGCGTCTCAAACAGGTCCTTGTTGCTGATCTTGCCGTCGCCATCAACATCGTACATCTTGAAGGTAAAACGCAGCCTTTCCCGCTTGTCAGCCTGCGGGGAAAAAACGGCAAGGGCCTTTGCAAACGTCATAAAGTCAATTTTTCCGTCCCCACTTGTATCCAACACCGCCAGTACACGCCCGAGCAGAGGGTTTGAGGCCACTGAGGAGATGGAGCTGAGCGCCTCCGCTGTCAGGACTCCCCGTCCCCCCTGAGCGAGCGTCGCAAACCGCTTGTGAAGTCGAACAATTTGTGCCTCGGAAAGTGCAGTCGCTTCTCGCAACTGCCGCATCTCCTCGGGCGTGAAGGAAGACCCCTCGCCCATGATGCGAGCACGAGCAACTACCACAACAACTACTAACAGTAATGATAGCACTTATTTTTATTATTGGTACTGCACAGCGGAAAGAGAAACTATTTCTGCGGCTCCTGCTTGCGACTGTATGACTCCCCTCCCCTTTATGGTGTATACTACCAAATTTATTGGCCCGCCAACACGGGAGACCAAAAATCAACCCTGAAAAGAGCAAAAGCAAGAAAAAGTAGGCAGGCACCCTGAGAGAGTTGTCAAAATATGTAACCATAATTTTCTTTTACTCGCCTTTACATCCCCATTTGAGTCTCTCCCTCTTCAGTAAAGAGAATGAAATAAGTAACCTTTGAATATTACTCTATTCATTGGACATCAGTGATCATACATAAAATCATACAAACAATGAATGTGGTCTCAAGATGACGGGGAATTGAGGTGTCTTCCATCCATGTCAATAGATTCCATAGCGACATACAACGTGTTGATGGCACAAAAAACGGCGCGAGTTGCCGCTGGTGTTAGTAACCGTGCACCGTCCACGATACGCAGATCCACACCATTTGTCAACTCGAGTGCGGCGGCCATTTTTTCCCACTCCCCTCGCAAGTTTCCAAACAAGTGCAGCTCCGCCCATGCGAGAAAAACTTTGGACGTCAACGTTGCTGCAGAAATCACGCCTGTACCGTCGGGATCAAACGCACCAAAAAGTGCATTTACATTGCGGTCCAACGCGGGGTGGAAGGCGTTTTCGACAAGAAAGGAAAAGAAAGAAGATAAAAGTAAAGAATCCTCTTCCTCACTCGGAAGCAGAACAATAAACATGCGATGCAAATAATCTTCACTCACCATATTGGGCACTAGCTGCGTACAAACATCGTACAGTTCCTCAAACCTCAAGCGCAAGGCCCCAACGCTACAGTTCTCTTCCTTTAGCGTCTGCCATTCTGCATCCTTTCTCTGAATAAGAGCGTCATAGATCTGATACAAGGGTAAACCACACAAAAGGCCAATGATAGGGTTGACGTGTAGGGAAGTAGGCAAAAATAGTGAATACCGCGATTTACTTCCAAAATGCCTCGTCTCAAAAAGATCCAATTCCTTCATAATTTTGGTGGATTCACACAAAGAGCTGTCTTCATTCTTCGAAATAGGGACCGATGCGCACATGGCCCTCTTCAGAAAATAGTCCACAGAGTTTTGCAATTGCTTCGCCTCTTTCATTGGGGCTGCGCTTTTCGAAACGGATTTTTTTTGCCAGTTGCCCGTACTCACTTGCAAAACATAACGCGGTGGCGGTGGCTGCTGGACAAACATCGTCGCGGCCCAATATATAAATGTATTGTAACACTGGAAACTGACTGCCGGTGTGGCTGGGAGTGGGAATTGAGGTTCCTTTCCGCTGTCTCTCGCTTCTTCCTTCGTCGGCAATAATGTTTCCTCCACACCACCACCACCACCACCACCGCCGCCGCCTCTTATTATCCCCTTCGCTCGGGAACCCTGACAATCTCATGAGCGTTAGTCGCGCATTAAAAAAAAGAGGAAAAAAAGAAAAAGAAGACAAAGAGACAAACCAACGGCATGTGGCAGCCGCTGCCACACATCCACAATAAGACATGCAGACAGAAGTATGGGAGGGGGACGCCACAAAAAAATAACGGTCTACAAATGAGGGCAAACACTCCGTCCACACTTTCCACTCCGAAAAAAAAAAAAAAAAAATACACGTGGTAAAAAGCAACAACAACAACAACAACAACAGTGGTACAACTTGTGCATGCTGCAGGGTCCAATGGAGAGCTGCGCCCACATATGCCCAAAAGGAATACACGCATGAGCCGCTTTTTTTTTTTTTTTTTTGTCTTCTTCTCTTCCCCCTCCCCTCCTTTTTTTTTTTTTTTTTTTTGTTCTTCACGTTCTACCAAAAACAAGAAGGAAAAAAATACACAAACTCAGCCTAAAGCAGATTTTCAGAAAAATCAACAAGAAAAATATAAATATAAATATATTTATATATCAAATAATAAGAAGAAAAAAAAAAACTAATGCAGAGAAAACAGTCCCCTCTCTTTTCCCACCATATCCAGCTACAGCTATCCTTCCTGACCGTCACTCTTGTTCCCTTTTCACTCCCTTCTTTTTTTACACACAAATTCCCTCTTTGTCGCTCTCTGTACCGATCCATTGGTTATTTTTGCCTCAATTCCTCCTCGTTCCTTTTTTTTTTTTTTTTTTTTGTTGAAGAGAGGGGGAGGGAAGAAAAGAAAAAAAAAAAAAAATACCCTCCCCTCCCCTCCCTTTCCCTTTTTTCCATCTTTCATTGCTGCCGATCTCTATAATTTGTCTTTATTCATGTATTCAGAGAGAAGAAGCAAAGAATGAAACCGAACACTACTTTTTTCTTTTTTTCTTTTTTTCTACCGCGTCACAGTCTCCGCTTCACAAACCGTTTTATGAAACCTGCACGCAAACGCACCCATCTCTCAATCCCACCCGTTTCCTGGCTGCCCGTATTCCCACCGTTCCTGCCACCATGGCAAAAAACAAAAAAAAAACAAAGGAGACATCCCGAGTCATGCCTCCAAGTGAGGGAAGGGGACGAAAAAGGAGACAGCACCAGTCGTGGGTGAACGACGGAATGGAGGAAATAATAATAATAAAAACACACACAAAAAAAATTCAAATATTTAAAAGAAAAACAAAAAAAAAGTAACAAATAAAAAAAAAAAAAAAATAGAGCAAAAACGAAAAAAGAAGATGAGACTGAGTGGCCAGAAGGAAATAGAAAGACAGGCCCTACTTCTCTATGCTGTGGGCTGCGCATCCTGAAATTCCACCTCCGCCGTTACAGAACCAACTGGAGGTTCGTCATTGCCAAGCAGTTTTTTCTTCAAGGGAGGCGGGGAGCTGCACGCGCTTCCGTAGTCCTCCTGCAGGAAGGGATGCTGCAGCAGCTCAGCCGCAGTAGGACGTTGGTGGTGATCAATTGTGAGACATGCCCGAACAAAATCAATGTATAAAGGATCATCGTACCCAAAAATTGCTTCTAACGAATTTTGTGGAACGGGGAAATGAAACACAAGTTCTTTCCCTTCCCGGTATTCGTAAAAGACACCGGTTTTTGTTACGAAATGTTGTGTGTTACGTCCTTCGTGAAGCAATGAAGCCGGTAAGGGACCGCACACGCTACAGATGGACGCTAGCATTTGCTGCAAGGAGGTATTCTCAAACAGAACGCGGCCTGTCGCTAGTTCAGCCAGAATGGCGCCCAATGACCAAATATCAACACGACCGTCGTACTTGCAACCAAGAATCACCTCGGGAGCACGATAGCAACGGGACTGCACGTACGAGCTGAGGTTGTCCGTCAGGTAGCAACTACTCCCAAAGTCAATAATTTTTACCTCACACCTGCTAAATGAGTGAATGAGAATATTCTCTGGTTTGAGATCGCAATGTAATATCCCGAGATTTTGCAAAAAACACAGACCCGTGAGAATCTGCTTTGCTATCGCCTGTAATCGAGGGAGAGTAAAATAAAATTCCGTTTCCTCCTCCCTATTAAACTTGCTAAACTGATACAAGTTATCACGAAGCAACTCTGTCACAATAAACATGTGCTCCTTATAATAGAAATAGTCGTACAATTTTACCACGCAGTTCTCCTCCGTGCTTCCAGAGGAATCAATTAACTTAAGCAACTTGATCTCATCCAAGCTTTGATCAAAGAAGTCCTTGGAGTTGCGTATTATTTTTAGGCAAACTTCTCTGTCTTCTATTAGATCCATGCAGCGCACTGCCCGAGAGAATGCAGCGGAGTCAAGAAATTGTAGCATCTGATATCTCCCCGCAACCACCGTATCCGCAATAATGGGAAAATCCTTTTCCTCCTCAAAGCCCGTCTTCCCCACTTCATACACCACGCGAAGATGAAAAGAATCCAGTGGCAAATTTGAAGGTGCTGCCTCCTTAAAGTACGGCTTTGTTGGCAAAAGCCGCGTCTCTTCAGTCGGTTGGAGCTCCTTGTATTTTTCTAAAGTTATACCCGCTCCGCCCGCAAACTCTGGCGCAAGATAATCCTCACCAGACAGTTTCCAAAGCTCTTCTTCCACACCGGTGGAGGTTACCACACGATGCATCGTTTGCAGGATTTGAAAGTTAGAAACAGCACAGGATGAACTCTTACGGGAGCGTGAAGAAGCAGAAGACCGACTCACTTTTTGGCCCTTCTTTCCTCCCTGAGACTTTGCCGAGTCCTGTTGCTTCACCAAGAGCTGCCACTGCTCCACGAATAAATTCAGGCAATGGGATAGGCCCAAGTGACGAAGGAATGCGCTGAACTCCTTGGCCTTTGCGTGGTCCTCAGGGGACAACACGGGTGGCATTTTCGTTAATCTATTACGTACCCTGTCTTTATTTTTATCTTTGTTCCTTGTTTCTTTCCTTTCCCCTTCTCGTGTGAGTTTTTTTGTCCAATTTCTCGCTCCCCCTTCAGCCACCACCCGCAGCGAAGGAGCAAAACAGTTTTTTAGGAGGGGCGTTGTTTCTCGCTTCCCTACGGGCCACCACACACACAGAGATAGAAAGGAGAAGCAGACATTCACTACCCGACTCTCCATATTAGCAATGGAGGACAGCAATATACAAGTAGGACAACAATAGAAATACGTGCGTGTCCGTGTTTTCGCCAGAAAAAACACGCCAATAACATTGCCTCTCTCCCTCTCTATCTCTCACCTTTCTGGATTTGGCGTGCCGCCACGTCTTGCTCCCCCTCTCATTTTCTATACCCTGGACGTTCCTTTGTTGCCACCGGGAACACATGCGGGTGCAAAAGCATTTGGGGTCGTCTTGGCAATAATGATTTTTTTTCCCCTTCAGTCGCTGCCCCATCGGGTTTTTTTTTTTTTTGTATTGTTGGAGAGTGGGGGGAAAGAGACGGACAAGTGGCACCGTGCCTCATCTCCCACACACCGCCTTCGGCTTGCACCTCTCCACGCGGCGCACCGGCAGAATGGCTCCAGCCCCGAGGGGAAACACCCACGAAAAACGTTGCATTAAAAAATAAAATAAATAAAAAACCAAACAAAACCAAACAAACAAACTAAAAAAAAAAAGAGACTCAAATAAATCTATGAAATTGACCGGTTCGAAAACATTTTTTTCCTTCGTTTCTTCTCCTCCAGGGGTGGCGGCTGTTGTCTCGCCATTCATCCTCTCCACAACACACAACACACACACAAGAGGCAGCAAGCAAACAAGAGCTTCCTTCTTCCCCTCCCCCTCCCCCCCTTACACACACAAAAATACTAGTGCTTCATGAAGGCTTCACACGCCTTCAGTACTTTTGGGCAGCTTCGCAGTTCCACCAATTTTCGTGATAGCTCCGCATCGGCAGCGCCGGCACGCAACAAGTCACCTAAGTGTCCACCCTGTTTTTTTTTGCCCTTTGTGAGAACACCCTCTAAATCGCCATACTTTTTAAGAAGCTGTAGCGCACGCGTCTTTCCTATGCCCTTTACACCAGGAATGTTGTCCGAAGAATCACCAGCAAGAGATTTATAGTCACGGACTAGTTTCGGATGCACCCCGACACGCTCAATAACACCTTTTTCCGAGACCAAATGTTTTGTGCGTATATCGTAGTGGTAGCACTTATTTGCCTCGTCGATGAGTTGATAAAGATCGTAGTCATGCGACATCACAACAGTGGGTATCTTAAGCTGCTGATTGTGCAGCGCTAAGGTGGCAATAATGTCATCCGCTTCTGCATCAACATCTTTAAGCTTTGCGTCCAAGTCGGGAAGAACGATAAGTGTGTTTTTGGGCTCCCCCGTGAATACCTTTATTGCGACCTTCTTAATGACGGACAGCTCTGCTGCGTGTTCACGCTCCGCGCGGTTCTCCTTGTATGCTGGATAGAGCTCGCGCCGTCCACCATCCCCTTGATCAAAACAAATAATTACTTTGTTGTGCTTCGGAGTGTGGGCGTATTCCACCTGCGGGGAAAGGAGATGCTGGGCAAGATGACTGGGGTCAAAGCTGTGCGCCGTGGCAATAATATGCCGGGCGTTTGTGATAGTAAACCGCTTAACGTCTACAGGGGTATGTTTAC